AATTATTGAGTAGCTAGGTAGAATATGGAAATATGTACTAGTCAGTTGAGTAATAAGCTTCGACAAAACTCAGATTAAAATATCAAACAATTACTATTACAGACCATATATAACTGGTCATAAAAACTCGAGTAATTTAATTTTTTTCTCACTGACTACTGAAAACGTACTAATATATATATATATATATATATATATATATATATACCGCTCCGTTGAAACAAAACCCAGTGGTCCATAAATTGAATCTATTCTAGGAGTGGATGCATTGAGATTCGATGTCGTAGATTAGTTACTATACGAGTCAGTTAGCACCATAGGTTATGCATTCATGTATATTTTTGACCTATGATCACTTTTTTGGAAAATTAGGAAGTAATACAGTGTTTATATTTCCTTTCTTCTTATTGCCAACACGTTCAGGGTCGATACTAGATAAAAGAAATCCATTAGCAAACACAACAAAATATATTCACTTATATTTTCAATATCGTTTGTGTTGCGTTCTTATTTGCATTTACAAATCATCTTCGTTTATCATCAAAATTCAGAAGCAAAAATCTCAAAAAGATTTTGATTCTATATCAACGTTGGTGAGTATTTATTTTGTCATACATAATTTATACTGTTAAAAAATTAATTTTATTTAGAATCTTCTATTCATTGTTGAAGCTTTTTGTTAACATGCAGAAGTATCCATGCATTCTTGCCAAAAACAAATATTCACGAATTCTTGATAACCTCTATTGATATACAGTTGAAGCTCTCTGTCAGAACTACATGATGATGATGTTTAAAGCTAATCGAGAAATTCCCTTGATGCTTAGATCAAACTTTCAAGTGAAATACAAAATGTTCCATTTTGACCAAATTTGTGAGATATATAATTCAGCTTTTGATAACATGTACAATAATTAAAGTTAAACTACATATACAGTCGGTTGCGTTTAACTTCAGCTATGTCATGTAAATAAGTACAATTAATAAGAATTTTGCAATTTATTTATATCATTAAATGAAAAGCCGTTTTAAAGTATATATATATGACCTAAAATAGCGTGATCATTAGTCGGACCACTCTATATTTTCACACGTAAAACATGTGACAATTATCAAAATTACTATTAAGCAATCAATAAAGTGCATACTTAGATTAAACAACAAAGATATATTGAGAATTCAAAATGTTTGCCACCCAGAAAAAGTTACATTCAAGCTATTTACGACTTAAGTGAATTCATTTATTTAAATCTTTGTTTCGATAGGTTTCCGTTTAGGAAAATTTGAGTGAATTTTCTTTTTATTGATTGTTGTATCGTGAGAATCTAACGCAGTATTTTCAACGAAATTCAGGTTTATTGAATGAAATATAGATGAGTTAGTGAATAAGCGTGATATAAAGATGCAAGAAGATTAGACCAACAGACGAAGTTGAACAATAAACAATAGCACATCTAATATTGTTCATTCTTAACAACACAATATGATCCAAAGTAGAAATTTACGAAACACCAAATACTGGACAATAACAGCTCAGACGTAAGCACACAAAAATCCAAAATTCAAACATCTGTAGAATGAAATATGAGCAGTGCGCAAAGAATTCTTGGCCAAGGTAATGACAGCTATCTAGTATTCATGTCAAGCTATGATGAAGACTACTTTTTCCTGTTTATTGATGGACTACCAAGCATTTAGTAAAACAAAAGCTCTAAACAATAAATCAGTGTTCAACTACATGATTCTCAGACGATGATAATAAAGAATTTCGCATACAGAGTATATGATTTATTATAATATAGTTTCATTAGTCTTAATAAAAACCATTTTATTTAACTGTCCATTATTGAAAAACAATAGTGGGCGGCAAATGATGTTCAATGAGGGGTAACAGGCATAAGTAAGTAATTAACAAACAATAGATTCACAACTACAAAACTACCCGAAACCACAAAATTGTGTCTATTAAAAACTGAGAAATAACAGTAATGGGAAGAAATAAATTTGACTAGTCAAGTATCACCTTATAATTCAACTGAAAAAGAAGACAATTTAGCCATGCAAAAAAATCAGAATGAGTGTATTTTAAGCGTTGAATATAACCTAGAATAGATCATATGTCAAAATTAATTAGAAAATAATCGCCAATATTCTCTAAAAAAACAACAACACGATATTAAATACCAAAGTGAAAATATTACTGAATAAATAACAGTAGTGAATAAGTGAATAACATTTGTCAATGACTTGAAAAAAAAACCTGATTGAAAAATTCTCTCAGATTGACAGTAATATAGTGGAAATAAAATAATGTTTAAATACATGGATAGACTCTGAACAGCTGATGCTTTGTTCTCTTTAAATGTCATGAGTAAACATTTGAAAAGGTACTAACACCAATGGTTAAAGTATTAATTTTATTGAGTTTCAATTACTATTAACCACTATGCCTCAGTTTTTTTTCATTAAGGATGGCTAACTTTGAGATCATTGAGCTGGCAACCAATGGTATTATCCAATGTCTAAATTCAACTAGTTCATGATAAAGTGCAGCCATCTTCCAATGCCGGTGGTAGTTTACATTCGCTACAGTTAAACTACAATTTATGATGTAATGAGGTAGTTCAATCCAAATGTACTTGGACGGAAAATGATGTGTACTATGGTTAGTGTTTTTTTCTGTTTTTTTTTTAAAAAACACTAGGAGTGAATATATACAAACGAATTTATATAATATTAGAACGAAATATAGTTGTCAAAAATTCCACCAGTTAAATCACACATGAAGAAACCTTCCAGAGACGAAAACAATGTAAAATATATGTCTACAAATAATCCATCTTCATAGTTGAAATCACGAGTCGATCTAATCTAGATAAACATTGAAAACCTGGAAGCACTAGATGATTATTTCGTCCTAGGATGGGACCCACCAAAAGTGCGCGTCCAGGATGCCGCTTACTGAACTAGAATCCAAGACCTACGGACTCGTGCAAGAACCCTTACCCTACAGACCACTGAGTAATCATCAAATGATGTTAATGTCTAACTTCAATCGATCTATGATCTTGCCCAACTCTCTCCCATTGTCTTCGTACAGTAACTGCCAATGCTTCCAGGTTTTTAATAGTTGTCTAGTTTAGATCGACTCATGAATTCAACTGTGAAAATACTACAATCTGTACAAATACGCAAACTGAAAATAAATTATTCGCAAGTAATCATATGAGAATAAATAAGCGAATGTGCGATAAGGTGAAAGAAGTAGACCTAGTTTTTCACATCGATAATAATATAAAAAAAACAGATAGCATCAACTAAATAATAACCGCATAAAGTATATTTGACTCAGTTCAAACTAAAAATCATTATTCATTAATGACGAAAAAATTCTTAAAATCACTGGTATTTGAAATAGTGAAGACAATTTTTAGCTCAACTGCCTTTTTTGACGATACTGTGTTGTCTAAATTGTTTGAATTAATGACTTGGCCCTAATCTTCGAGGTTTTTTGGATTAGCGTTTTGTAATTTTGAACAAGAATCAGTTATCATCTTTTAACAATAGTTTGTGATTATTACTCAGTTATTATTATGATTTTTATGCTTTTCGTTTTTTTTTTCATATTTGTCAAGTGAACAATTATCATTCATAGTTTTGATACGTAAATTATTTTCATCCTTATATTCTTCCCTAACCCCCTGATTATTACGTGACCTCATTTGATAATTGGAGTCTCGAATCACTTTATTATGCAATCTTGTGTGAATTAATTGTAGAGAATTCACTGTCAGTCTACACGACAACATCATCTGTGTTTATTATTGTTATTATTATTAATGGGTTTATTAAAAATTATATTTTTGGTACAATATGGAATTCTCAGCACAATTTGTTTTAAAAAGTTTTTGTTTCTTATTTCTTGATCGACCCTGATGAGAAATATTGAGTAGTTACCAGTTCACGAATTGACATCTGAATAATATTCATTCCTATCAATGCACATTGTCACCCATCACAATGTCTCCGGTTGTACATTTTTGTAGCTGTTGTAAACTTTTTACAAACCCGCCTGAATAATTTATGCGATTAATAGACATAATAATGTGTTAAAACAAACAAAAACAGATAACTTGGTGAAATATGTAGATGGCAGGAACAGGTAGCTCAGATAATCAAGCAGGTTGCCGCTAAACGTTAACATCACCTAAAACATTAGATTGATTGTTATCCACTGTAGTTAGTGTTAAAATCACATGGTTTTCAACTAACCAAAGTTTGTAGACTTGGACCTAGCTGTACCATGGACAGGTTAATCTGCTGGATAGTATAATTAATCTCCAAACAAAAAGGAAATTTAATCCAAAGGTCAGTAAATACACTTGTACTGGGTCAGTTACATTATTATTATTTCAGATTATGTCACAATTGTGTGTGAAAGAGCAGTAATCAAATAATGCAGTCCCTCTATCTGCGACTCACTCATTCCATTCAATTAATCGAGTACGTTTTTCTTAAAATGTAAACATTAAGTAACAAAAAATCAAATCATTCTAATCTAAACTTTAGATTTGCACTGAACTATTGTACACTAGAATATTAGAAATAAAATAAAAGAATACGAAATCAATGGTTAAATAAAATGAGTAAAGAGTCTATCAAGTGCACAACTTATAGTAAAACAGAACAATTTAAACCACTTAATCTCATAGAATGCTAAAGATTTACTATTCTAAAAAACGGAATCAATATAGAACTTTGAAAATAGGTGAGAAAAAGAGAAAATGAGTGAGTTTAAATAAAAAGAAATACTTTAAACAATTACATGGAGGATATGAATGGTATAATTATTGCATAATCATTGAAATCTAACACTATAACCTAGTCTTGTTCAATTTATGGAATAAAGGAACCATTAGATGAATTGGATGAAAAGTTTGATTAAATAGAGCAATTGAAAAAAAAAACCTTGACGAAAAAAACCTTCAATGAACACTTACTAATCTTCGTCGTTTTTTATTCCAACCTTCAGCTCTTCTCCTGGAGTCTGCACGACCAGAGGCTATTACAATGAAAATATGGATTGAAAAAAAATAACGAAATGAAAAACAAAAGCATAATGGTGATATTTACATGGAATATTTTTAGCACATCATGGCATATGTGATAAGATAAATAAATTATTCATTAGAATAATTTCTTTCTACATTTAATTGTCATTAGCAATTAATATTTGTTGAATCATCTATGGAAATAAAACAGTAATTTGTAACCGCCATCTCCACACATCCGCATAGTGATAATCATGTTTTCGCTAGTGACTAGTTTCAGGATTAATTCACTGGAATTCTAGTGAGAAGCCGTGACAAATGGAGTCCAGTCCGTGTCGTGTGTGAGAAAGTTATGAAGAGTTGAGAAACATCATGAACCAGTTTAAGTTAGATATTAATACCGCTGGATGCCTGCACAGTGGTCTACAGGTTAAGCGTTCGCGTACAAAACCGAAGGTTCTGAGTTCGAGTCTCACGTGTGGGACTGTAGATGAGCACTGTTGAGGAGTCCCATACTGAGATGAAACCGCCGTTCAATGTTTACAGGTTTAGCATAGGTCCACTCGTTAATTGAACTGTGAAAATAATGAAGCGGTACGATCTTTATAATAATTGTAAATTGTTACTTATTCATTGTCAGGAAAATGTGATACATTTAGTTCAATAATTAGGAATTATTTCAGTTCTAAATAACGATTAGAATGAGTAAGAAGAATTGATATTAATGGAATTATTTTAATTGACATATAAAGCAAGTTATTTAATCAACAACTTCATCATTGAACATTCGAATTCAAAGGAATCGTATTTATTTTAAGTATATTACAAATATCGTTAGATTTTTAAGCGAGACTATAATTTATAGACGAACCAATCAGGTATAATATTTCGCCACGAAATTCACTCACTCATTTGGATAAATAGAGCCCTGGCATTATAGCTGATGTCAGTTCGTGATGAAAACACTAAATCAAATTTCTAACCTTAACCATCAACTGTAAATCATAATTCGGATTCCTCACACAAATTTATAAACTTCATTTGGTCCTAGTTATCAAGTAAGCACTCACATGGTCAGTCTAGCGTCGCTCAAAGGTAGTCTCATCGATTTCTATGTTATTAATAAGTAAAGCATCAATACTGAATGCATAAAATTCCAATTGATTAATTAAATAAATTATTTTATTATTAACTGTGTTATACTTTTTTTTCAAAAAATGAATTTTAAACAAACCCTTAAAATAGAACTGAAATATACTATTTATATTTTACAGTGTAAATTCGACAGGAGTAAATCACATTGCTGAATATTTAGAAAAAAACTTTGGAATTTTTCAGTATATTTTAATTATGTCATGTGAATGCTGGTGAAATTTTTACGACATTAATCTTGGGAAGTAGAAATTAGAGAAAACATTGAATAAATCAATAATAAATACTCTACATGAATATTATCAGATATTTTATCAATCAAGTATTTATTGTGTAGATGTATTCGATGATTACTTAAAAAACTAACAGTCACATAACCATTCTAATTTATATACATAGTAGACTCATTCTAATCGTAACATTTGGTATATATATAAAACAGCCCTTCATTTGATTCACTTCTTCAATCAGTTATGCACAATGTAAAAGTGGCACATATGTGCAACGAATTACAGTTATTGCACAGCATCAGTACAAAGAAATGTCGAAGTATGATAAAAAGTAACAGTAATAATGATAGTAATGAAAATATATTTTTTCTTATATCCTAATGAGTAGAAAATTGTATTTCTGACGTTTGGTGACTTAATGCAAACCACTCTTTTACAGCAAACAAATTACAGAAATAAGATTAATGCAAGTTTAAATAGTACAAAGGAAACAATGAAGATTATTTTTAGTACAATCGAAACTATAGTATTAAATCATAGTGTGGTGTATGTTACTTATGACTGAAGATATAAGAAGTATGTAAAACAAGTTGGAAGTGAAATGTTTACGAGCAGAAGGTTGAGAAGATTAAAATGAAAAGAGAGAAGGAACAATGAAGGTTGTGAGAGACAATTCAAAGAAGATATGTGATGATTTTCACATTTTGCTAAAGCACTGTGTAATTGTGCATTAAACAATACGTTGGTCTTCCCCCATATGAGTGTTCGTTTATCACAATAGTGTTGATGATGGTAAGAAAGATCAAGCGTAAAAAATGATTTGAGAAACCATAAACTCATGGTATAAAAAAATTTTCAAGATAATTTAGATACTGAGGATCCAACGGAAGAGTGAAGTCATCTGTTTCATTGGTAGTGATTCTAAGCCATGTCATCTGAAATCTCTAGCTATGCTGAATGCGATAATAGTGCAAACATCAATCACGTATTCTGTATTTAACTCTATATTACTGAGGCCAACAATCAATGATTTTAAAGACTGATGCTACGACTTATTTAAGCCAACTATGGAGATTGTCAAATCATTCGTACTTTTCCTTCAGAAAGAAATCAAATTATTAGTAGCGTCTTTATTTTTATGTATTTCTTAATAATTTATTTAATATACGGATTATGAAAATGAAATTTCTTTCTTTTATATATTTCAAATATCATTATGTAATTATTTGAACTTTTACACAGTTGACCTTCATTAATTTTCATATTAGAAATGCCTTGACATGTACATAAATGTGACCAGACTATTCAAAATATGTTTTATAAATGCATTATATATTATTTTTAAGTTTCATTCTATGTTCTCATAATAAAAACGATGTTTACAAAACAGATTCATTGTTACAAAACACTTATAACAACTAAGTTTAGTAAATGCATTCCGAAACTAGGCAATCAGTCAATTATAAATGGAGAACAACCGGCCTCAAAAGGGAATAAATCAGAGCGAAATAATTTAAATAACAATAATCTTAGTGTGTAGTCAATATCCATAATCATGAAATGTAGTTCGAAATAGGCGGAGTAAGTCGGTCAGCTACAAAGTAGGACCAAGCACAACTGTGCATCGGTCCGAGTTGCCACAACTCATTAGCACAACAGGATGAACACCAAAGAGGAGGATGAAACTAACGATTTATATGAACATACAAAACTAATGCAACTGGATCACCCCTGATAGAGGCGATCAGCAAATGTTTCAACATTAAGAATCAAATATCGAGACCTCTGAGCGGAAACAATGCTTTAATAATCAATAATAATAATGATAATAATAATAATAATATTAAAATGAATTAAAACAAAACCGCTACAAAGTAACCTGAAATATAAATGTAACATTATCGACCATAACCGAAAGGAAAAACACCAGACAAGGCGGAAAGTCAGTCAGTCAGTAACAACGTAGAACTTCGCACGTATGTACATCAGTTCTAGTTGCCACACCACATTAGCATAGAGATGCAGTGGTCGATTCAAATCCCGTAGTGGTAGAGGTAATAAGAGTATAAGCAGTAATTTGGAAAATTACTGTTTGGAGATGTTATTTAAAGAGTATAATACAGTGAAATAAATTTGGGAAGAGAAAAAAAAGAGACCAGGAGGAATAAGCAGATCAAAATTTGGGAGAACACAAAGAGTGTATGCACCTGCGCCATTGCAAACGATTTTAAGCCATGTCATTTAGGGTCTCTAACCATCGGTTGCTATCATCTCGCGGTCCCCAACCATTGTACCATTGTACACTTGTGATGGAGTTTCAAGGGATTATCAAGAAAACAACTACTCGGTGCTTCTTAGCTTTCACTGACTTTTCATCATTTTATATCAGTCCTTACAGCAAAAAACAGTTCCTTCAGGTTGAACATATTTTTACAACCCAGTGAACTAAGTAAACTTATGATAAGTATTGAAATGCTGTAAATACTAACAAGTGCAACCATATAACAATATTGATATGCGTATTTATCAAATATTTATTTATAAAATGAACCCAGCATGACTTCAGATTAAATGAAGAAAAGTAACCAGTAGAAATGAGGAATAATACAATTACATATAAAAAGCTTTTTCTGTTTGTTCAAAATTAATTACAACTGGCAGATATTAAAAAAGAGAGATGTAAGTAAAAGATTTAATCAAGTTCAATCATAGTTTATTTGTTTATTTTTTAAACGATATATTTATTGTCTGCCGCGAAAATCGATCGGAATTGAAGTGAATCATTCGATTTAAAAACTCCATGGTTTTAGGCAGTGTATGCTGCATTATAAGATCTAAAAGCGTTAGGTTCGTGCGAACATAAAAACATTTTCCGGTCAATTACAAATGAATTGATGCTGATCATAAATAGATCGGTATTTATTAAAAAAAACAGGAATGAACATGAACAAAACACTCAACTTCTGGTCGCAAAAATAACTCCAAATGAAATAGTATTGAGTGAAATATTCATTGAAAATAAATATTGGAAAATAGGTTATATTAGATAATTATTTTACTGGAATCATAAACTAATCTAAGTAAGACCGCCACTGAGAGATGGAAGCGAAAGACGGCCGTTCTATTTAAATATGGGACTCCTCAGCATTGTGTATTCACTAGCCTACAAGCAGGAATCGCACCCAGGACTTTAAGGTATCGCGTACAAACATTTGACCTCTAAACGACTGAGCCGAAATCCAACGTCGTAAGATTTTTAGCTTCCATCAGTCCACGATATTGTGCGACTATTTTTTATTGTCTTTGGTAGATAACTGCCACTGGTCACGAGTTGTGACCAGTGAGCAAATGATACTTGTCAGTAAAAAGTTCAACGTTCTCCACAACCCCAAACTGATAATTAATTTTAGTCTGATCAATAAGAAAAATAACTGGATCGATAGTGTGATTATTTGATAACTGAAGATTAAATAATTTATCACGGTATCATGTTCAAGATTTTCATGCAACATACAAATAAAAATTTTCTAGACTTTTTAAGGAATTTAGTTCATTATTACTAGTGATCAATATTTTTGTCGCCAGTCAACCGCTGATTATACTGTAGATTTCTCAAAACAATTCCATATAAATTTCAGGTTACTCAGATACATATATTAGTTAGTAAATTACCAAAATACAGTTAGTAGTCGATGATTACATGATACTATCTAAATTTCTCATAAAATATGTTCACCATAGAATGTATTACGTAATAACATGATTAGCTTTGAAAGCGGTCAGTCTTCATCGATTTACCCCGTCAATACAACGTGGATTAAAACATGCTAAAAACCTTCCGTTTAATTTAGATCTGACTTTTTCTCTACATTATGATACAACATAGTTTTACCCATTGAATTATTTAATCTTTGATACTTCATATTATTATAATTAATGACATGATTCATCAACAAATCGGCCAATGTTACATTATATTCAACAACTGTACGGATTCATTGAAGTTAAGTGTCATCTCAATGGTCTAATTGTATAAAGTTAGCAGCGGGATCTGATGTTCATAGGCCGAATCATCAATGAGATCTTGCATAAGCTTTGTTGAGTCTCAAATACTAAGACGCAACAGTCTTTATAATTCTCCTAGGCTGTTAATGATACACGAATTGAGGTAAATCTACAACGAACACCGCCTACAAATTAAATTGATTACCATAAAGCCACGTCATTAATTGGATTATATTTTGAAAAAAAGTCTACCAATTTAACGAAGCTCGTTTATGGACACACACATATATAACATTCATGAAATATAAAGAAACGAACAAGGAAATAACAGCTCCTGTTTAAATTAACATACACGCGCGCAGAACTGATATTTATTCATCTATTCAATTATGTCACTCGCATATGGAGTATATATATATATATATATATATATATATATATATATACTTTATTCAGAGTACTACCACCATCGAATACTTTAAATTAGTCACTTATCATAAAAGAACCTAATTCATCCTAAATGAAAGGTTCAGAATAAAAATGAAGCGGATTTAGAGTACAGTTAATATGGTTTGAAGTAATAATAACGATTATATTTTTTTGCTCTTCCCTACATAAACCGTAGAAGTAGATTATAATAACACAGTATAATATCACATTTATCAGTGGACCAACCTAGAAAACAACAGATTTGGATATATATATATATATATATATATATATATCATACTTAAGTATTGAATTATGATAAGGATTCCATTGAATAAACTATACACAAACTAATAATTTATCTTAATGACACACGCACCCGTACATGGAAATATATCAAGATGAGAAAGGATAGTGAAAAAAAAAACAAATAAATGCTTTTATACTATCCAATATAATCGTTACTATATATATGCTCAAAATATGTGGGTAACAATTAAAAATTTATTATTGAAGTATAGATATTATAAAATGATAATAATTAAACTATTAATTATATGGACTGATGAGTAAATATATGTGTATAAGTATTTTCCGACTTTGAATTATTCAGTGTTGATTGTTCTGGAGGAGGAGGTACCTGAAAAGGAAATTGGATTAGAGGTGGTCTTAGTGACCTGGGAGCGTGACCGCAGTGCCCAAGAGACAACTGCTTGAGGTTGGTCACACACGACCTTTCTATGGGTCGAGACCTTACCGCCGGAGACGGATATCCGCGGGATAAGGCGAGGTGTGCATTTTTAGGGTCGACCTTTTCTAACCCCACCCCTCCCTTTTTGAAGGCAACATCGCTGTCATCCTGGTTGTCTGAAGGAAACACCTTACTGCTGTCACACCTCAGTACAGTCAGCAGTACGATTTCGGACCTTGGGTTTGTTGCTTTTAGTCTTACCGCTCTTCAACCGACCTGTCTGACATGGTAGGACCTTGAGGAACGGTTATTCCAGCCAGTATAGTTCGGTTGCTTCATCACGATAGGCAAGCTTGACCACCACGTCAAGGTAGCAACAACGGTCGGGTCAGTGTTGATTAGTTCATTGAATATGTGTCTTGCTATTACTTGTTATTTATATGTGAATAGCGTGCTCTGGACGAGTTTGAAGTGATTTATGATATTACCTGATTCGAATCTTAGTTTGAATATTTTAAACATATGACATTAACTGGACTTTTTTAACCATTAGTAAGGCATACAATTTCAGTGACTGAAATGAATCTCATAAAAAAATGTTTACATTTAGAGGTCAACTTAGTGCTGTACATTTCATCAAGTTGAAATTAGGAAATAAATTAAAATAATACTATTCTATGGTATCATTATTATGCAATAAAATGGACAAAATAATTTATGATTAAAGCACACAAATAATAAATAAAACTACAAACAGATATGGATGGTGGTTAGCATTGGGATCTAGGACGTGTATTTCGACCTATTTAAGATTCGTCAACCAGATTTATCTATATCCCTGAGGTGATGTTCACTCCAGGACTCAAACCAAGTATTGACTGCTTAAAACGTCATAGCTTAATCCACGTAACTTCTGAGTGCAAGTAGCCACCAGTTTGTTTAATAAATAACTGTTCATATTTTGATTCTTATCATTAACAAAGTGATACTTTCAACGATAGTGATGGAGTAAATTCTACTTTTATTAATAAATAATGCATGTCAATATAAAGATGAAAATTATTTTGGTGTGTACATATGTAAGACTCGCTTGACATAGTATTTTTAAAAGAAAGCGCTTAACTGTATATGATTCATCTCAATTTCGTCGGAAAACCGATATTTATGGTAACCACAATTATAAAAGCAATAACAACAAAAACAATTTATGGTGAAATTATTATTGATAGAAACAGAAAACGAAACAACAACACATACATATACTTACAAAAATCACTTGGTTTAGCTTGAGATAAATCTTTGTAGAAATCTGTTCGATGAGCTTTTTTCAAACCTGTACATAAGCCAAAATCACTCAATTTAATATGACCCTATGGACCATTCCAGAGAATATGATACAGTTGTAGTTGTGATTACGTTATGTTGATAAATGCAAACGCATGAACGATGAGTTAGATGATTGAGTTGTGAGAGGAAAAAAAGGAAAATCATTATGACATTAATAGAATGCTAAATAAGTGGTGTTTTAATCTAGAGGCAATTAGTAGAGATTGTAGAATTTTAAAGTAGTTTCAGTCATGAATTGATATTAACTAGACAACTATTAATGACGTGAAAGAACTATACAACCGTTTAATCGTAGCATGGGACTACTAAACATTGAAGATTCACGAAATGGAATCAAATGTCAATGGTGATTTGCTTAAGATCAATACGTGAGTCAAACAATGAGAATTCTACAATCTCCTCGATTCTCTTTGTACTAATAATAATCATGTGGTCATCAGAAACTAGCTCTGAGTTCGAGTGAGAAGTAGTGACCACTAGAGCTCAAGCAATTGATGAGGATTGCGTAGTATTGTGCATTGAAATGTACACTAATAGATCCCGGCTTAGTAGTCTAGAGGTTAGGGTTTACGTACGAGACCGAAGGTTCTTGGTTCCATTCTCGGACACAAGTTCGTGGGTACGCGGTTCTGTGGAGTCTCATATTAGGACTAAATGCCCGTCCAGCACTTCCAAGTTTTCGATAGTAGTATAGCTGAGATCAGTTTGTGATCTAAGTTATGGAAATGTTATTTACAAAACTCAGAGACGATTTAAACAAGAGAATAAATAAGAAGTGAGAGAAAAACATCTGTTTATAAACACTAGCTTTGTGTATGGCGCATATTTGAACAAAGCATTGTTTAACGAAAAGAGAGTAAGATGAAAAATACGTAAAGAAACAGAAGAACAAAGAGAAAAGGCTTTCTTTCTTGTTTTCTACTAAAAGCTGAACTGAAATTAGGATATGTTTTTTGTTTTCTTAGAGAAAGAATAATAGATATATGCATTAATATAATCATTTTATTAGTAGTATGTACACTAACAAATTAAATTAACACAACATATCATTCGGATTTAAATCAAAAATATCAAATAATTTATACCGAAATACAACATTAATTCTAGTAATGACTTTAATAATATTATTTGGTCAGTCGATTAATTCGAAAAACTGATTTATAAGTAACAGCTGAAGCAGTGTAGTCAACAGTTACACATCTCCAAACTACAGTCTACTCTATTGTACGATATTGGTTGAAGTAGGATTATGGTAAAACAATATCGAGGATTGACGAATTGATACCATGACACTAAGTGATGAAGTTAAAAACTGTCTATTTATGTTGTGAATCTAGGTGGAATTTTCTATAAGGACTTCTAGAGGCTGATGAAAATAAATGTTTAGGCCTTCTAATCGACACAGTATATAAACGAAAACCGATTATAATATAAAAGACCTCAACAGGATTAGAGAATAAGGATTAAATCATCACAGCGTCAGTTGACAAAGGACTCATCATGGTAGGCTTTGATAAAGAAAATGTTTATCAAGAAAGTCGATTTTTTTGTTTGAAGACAACAATGATAGAGCAATAAAAAGCAAATGAGACTGAGTACGTACAATACGAGCTAAAACTACCCTAAAGCATTCTCACTTCACAAAACTTGGAGACAAACACCATATTTTTATTATTCCAAGGAATAGCTATATATATATAAACTTTCTAAAAGATGTCTCTGAAGATAACCTACCACCGTAAAACCGTTATTTACAACCGAAAGATGTTTATCTTTTAAGAAATAAATAAAATTTTGAAATCCTTGGAAATTAGCATTGCTCAATAAAGTAACAAAATAACTTCTGATTTATACACTGGAAAAAAATAAACAGTGAATAACAATCAGTTATATGACAACCTGCTCCTATTGAGACAGATATTATACTGAAGAAAGTGAGAGTATTCTTCATTTAAGTACTAAAGAACATAGAACTATAATTAAACGACATCAGTGAGTCTAGACAATAACGAATATAGATTTGACCGATAAAGTGTTAAAATTGTATATATCGAAGATACCGTAAAATCATTGATGAGTTTGAAAAAGTCAGACAATGAAGTCACTGTGCCGCATATAGACATGTAGCGACAGATTCAAACCACTTATTGATGAAACCCAGGTCAATAAATCACGTGATCAGAGGTCATCTAAGAACAGCAACCCAATGTGAATAAATTTCTAATACGGCAATCAGAATGGATGCATTTCGCAAAAATTCTCCTCTGCTTGATGAGACGCTTGATGGTGTTATCCAAAATAACAGTTAAAGTTTTGTTATTAAATCCCCCAGTTAAGAAAATCTACCAATATCAAGTTCATTTACTCACTAGCTTTCATAAGGGTCTCAACAATGTATTATCTTTAGGAGAGTTTCGCTTTTAGACTAGTATATTTCTTTTTTATTCCTTCCATTTTTATCGATTTTCTGCATTTGAGACAATTCTAAACTATGCAATTCATACTGTGCTCTACACTGAAACTAGGCGGTTGGAGGCTATTGTAAAGAAGTTTTGGAACCAAGTTTTGTGGTAGTTAGCACCTGTCATTGAGAAATATTTGACATCTCAAAAATTGATCTTCTTTGAGACATTAAAATCTACACCAACTCATGTTATATGCACAGATGTATTTTGACTGCGACTGACTTCTTATGAGACTGGTCACTTATTAAAAATCAATATGATGTATAGACCTTAGTACAGAATCAATCCCATCGATCAAGCTGTGGTTAACTACAATTGTTCTACACACGGATACATTTGTCGTCATTATGACTGCTTAGAGCCAACGAAATAGTATACGTGAACTGTAATTTATTCGCTTATTAAATTATGACGAACTGTATCATATAAAATTATAGAAAAATAACGCAATATTCCAAAATCAAGATTACCTATATACATACATGTACACAAAAGCACACCTACCTTTGCGTCCAGTAATAAATTGTCAGGTTTAATATCACGATGAATAAAACCCATTTTATGTATTGAATCTATTGCTAGAACGGTTTTCTGCTATATAAAACTGTGTTTGAGATTCAGTCAATGTATCTCGTTTCATCAACAGTGTCATCATATCACCTAGAACGTGAGAACACAAAAAAGGAAAATCACAACAAAATAGATAGAAATGAACCAGATAAGATGAACACATTTTTGTTATCAAAATTATGAATAATATTGTGAAAAAAAAAGGACGTTACAGTGAAATTGAACATTGTTCCGCCTAGTTTACTCTAATTTATTTATAAACCACAGAGCTAGGAGTAGTTTATAATCATCCGTGTTTTAGTATTATTCAGTATAAACACGAATTTCTTTTTGAAAAAGATTTGAAGATAAATATTGATAGAAAGATGTTGGATACATTTTAGACACTATCAGTGGGTATTTTTAACTTAATCTTAGTAAAGAAATAATAGTACTGAGTGAGTCTTGGCTACGTGAACTAAAACGACTGAAGTGAGCCAGGAACCTGTAATTTATAGTTTTAATTCCTGGACTAGCGTTCTCGACCATAACAACTACTTACGCTACACTCATCATGAATAATTCGAAAATATATAACAAGACTTAGTCACAATTAACGATTCATAATTGATCGCTGACAAACTACATACTTCAATATTATTTGTAAAAATTATGTTTGAAATTATCTCAGAGATTAAAATTTAAATAATTCCAACGTTTACTGAACGAAACGTTAATCATTCAGATTATTTTAAAAATAATTTTCGCAAATATTGTCTTCTATATACTCGGCAACCGATTTCTGTCGAACTATTCGTTTAAACATTGACAGATTCTCCTTTGTCCTTTTAAAACTGATCAAGCGAGATTGAGAATTCATTTTCAACCATGTGTTAACATATATTCAATTGTATTATTATTATTATTATTACTTAAACGGGTTGAAATGAACTTGATTTTCTACTGTATTTAAAAAAATAAATAAATAAACAGTAAACTAAGACAAAAACGATAGAATGAACACCGACTGACTGATATGAAAACGATCAGCTGCAGTTGAAGTAATTGAAAATCTAAAAAAATTTTGTAATTTTATTCGTTCTACTTTGAGAATCGAAAGAGAAAAAAATTGATACCTTCGATAAACTAAGTTATCGACAACGATAATGGATTATCACGTGAGTCAGTATTTATCTATTTAGTATAGATAAATCGTAGTTAGCAATGAAATTCAGGACGCTCATTTCGTCCTTTTTAGAATTTATCACCTGAATGTGAACAGGCATACTGGTATATCCAAGTAGCGAGTCTCAAACAAGACAAAACGCACATTCTAGATTCTATTATTAGGCAGGAACTATATGTTCTAAACTTTTGGTTTCGTTTAGTTTAAACAGAGTATTGATGATATAGTAGGATAATAATAAAAGACGGTATTAGAAACAAAACAAAAAAATAACAACACAGGTCACAGGGGCAAACAAATATGCATATACACTTAGTATAATATAAAGATGATGGATCATTCTGCTTGAATTGAAGTAACCTGAAATTTATCCATTAAAATCAAGTATACTAGTTTAGAAATACAAACTGATGACTACACTTGTGTATGTATGCGTATAATCAATTAAGTGGATCATGACCTACAAGATGTTAGTCGATTGCAAAACGATTCGAAAGGTAGGATTCAAGAGGAGTAGAAGAAAGATTAAACATTAGTACTTATCACTTACACTTAAACGTACGCATATAAGGGTGCCTGTGAAGCTTAACTTTTCAAGGTCAAGGACATTTTTAGACTGTTATCATACGATCACTGATATTCCGCAGGCGTTCCTCTTTTACACTTTTAAGCATCTAGAAGCAAATTTCTAAGCACATACACCAAATCGGTTTGTGAGATAGAAAGCGTCAATCTACTTATATAGTTGGGAAATTTGTTATCCACATATAGCCTAACCACGGTCTACAGTGACAAGCCAAGCTAGATAACATACGAGTACATTGGTAAAATAAAGATAGAAGACAATACCATAACGTGATATCAGCCCATGAAATCAAATGACCGTTTATCTCAACATGGTTAAGATTCGTGGGAATAATCGAAGATAGACAATAGACAATAACATAGAAACTATTTATTTTTTCCTAAATTTTAGGTGAAAATATTATGTTGTGTACTTTATTCTCTCATTGAATTATCTGACGTACGATGGGTAAACACAATCTTAACGATCAGATTAAATTTATATCAATCAAATATTGATATGCTACTCATATCTTTTATCGGTTATAAAACTGACATATATGTAGGAAATATTATTATGTACTGTATTTTATTGTAATGATACTCATCTATCACTGTATGAATCAGTTAAATGAAGTCAAATAAACTAAGTTATTTGACTAGTTTACGCTTTCAATTCATTTACAGTTTTCAATCACAAAACTGTATATCAATATTTGATTTTGTCATAGAAATTATCTTATTATTCCACTGATTTCATAGTAATTCTAGACAAGTGATGATTGTGAACAAAGATTTTATTCAAAAACAAATTAATAAATAAAAAATAACGCTTAAAATTAAGTAATTGTTTAATAAGATTTTAAGCATGATCTACACTAATAAAATTTATTTATTATGAAGGTCCAAGTCAAAAAAGAATGATGGTAGTCTGTATGAGAATTTTGAGAAATTTAGTAAATACTATGTACTATAAATATTGTCTGATCAGATTAGAAAAATCTACATACAGAAAATGAACACTTAATATGCGTATAATTGAATAGAAGAGGAAGGGAAAAAAACGAAAGCGAATCTCAAAAAGATTTGATTAGAAGTAGTGATTAGACAAAAACAGCAACAACAAGAGAACAAAAAAAGCCCAACATGCATTAAAACATAAATCACATATTAGATAATAATAATAATAATAATAATAATAATAATAATAATAATAATAATAATAATAATAATAATAATAATAGAACAATGTTGGTAAACTTTAATTTACGGTGTTTATTGAGATCAAGTGATAGAAAATAATCACAATATCAAAATTATTCAACAATAAAAATTGATTACAGATGGATTCGTGGTGATTTGTTAGTGTTATAATTCACATCAAGAATTAATATTAGTTAAACAACCACTGAGAGTGGTGATCCTCTTAGGTCTGGTTAGAAATAGTAACTATTAGTGTACAACTATATCGGGGGTGTAGGGAAGTTACTCATCATTGAAAATGGAAGATAATTGTTCAATATCACGAATTGATTGAAATTAAACAATGTAAACCGTTAGATTTTATCTAAGTAGACAAAAGGTTAAGTGCTCGTTACAACATATGAACTACTTTGATCATGATATATTTATGATATGATATATTTAACAACTGATATTGGAAAACAGTTTGATGCTACGTTTTACACTCGTTTGTCAAGTCTGTTTATTGTAGTGTAGCGAAGTATATATATTGAACTATTCACATTAACAGTCTTGATTATATCATAAGTGTTAAATATATTGTGTACAGATATTAGCATATGGCCTTGATACGATCGAAGATGTAAAGATTCCAATCTCCCCCTCGAAATGCTCTCACACATGGCCACGACTATACAACCACTATCAGGGAAGTCCTACTCACTGCCTTCTCGCAACATTACTGTTGTTTACATTTATAGAAAACCAATGTTTAGTACTTTAACCGGGTTGATGGATATGGATGACCCATCTAGGGGAGTTGGAAAACTCTGATTCTAAACCAATGGTGCATATGTGCTCCAGGAACCCGAGGGGACAAAAGGCATATGAACATATTGTCGGTTACCGCCTACCATGAGACTGCATCGCCTGATGTTGCTTCACTAACTTGTGAATTTGTTGGGGACGTTAGATCCCCAGAACTCACTTGGGAAAGCCCTAATTTTGTAATTTTATTTAGAAAATTTGAGTTTCTTTGTTTTCGCGCCAAAGGCGCTTTTGTCACATTCATGTCGTATTTCCCACTGGGAAATATCTTAAATGCTATTGGTTCGTTGCATCTGTTAGTATGCTATTTGGTAACTCTCACCTAGGACGGTTTTATTCTGTATATATATGTTCTGAATAGTGTCTGTTGTTGTCGTTCGTTTCTGGCTGTTTGCAGAATATGCTTCCCCATTCCAAACTTGGACTTCTTTCTCTAGTTAGCCGGGCTGGGACGCATCAATAGCTAGCTTACTGGTCTTTGGTCACCGAGTCCTGTTTCTCGTTTGCAGATTAAGTGAACTCGTGAAGGCTTCAACTCTAGCACGATTAGACTTTTAGATCAAAGGCTCGAGGATTGATCTTCTAAGAAAACCATAGCAACTCACGTGCAATTGAGTTTGTTCTCACTTAACTTAGTTAAGCCTTTTTGTTAACTTATTTAGCGAACAAAGCATCCGTACTATAACAACTTATTGTACCTTTATCATTGTTGTGCTTGTAAGAAATATGCATGCTTGAACATTGCTTACCGCCTACGCATATATTCATTCTGCTAGCTTTATTATTAACTCCTTAATTGATTCGATGACTCATTCATTTCCCTATATATATACATCTAAGTTTAACACTCCCTACACTCACGGTTCGCTGACTCACCCATTCGCCTCACTGTTCTGTGGTCTGAGTATCTGCTACTAAAACTGTAGTTGCTTCTTCTCTTTACCTTCTGATTTCAAATACCATTGAAGATTATGTGGTAACGGTTACGAGGGTGATTGGTTAACGAAGCACAGCCACTACAAAACCACCTGTTTCGATTTAGGAGCCCGCGTAGTATTTCAGCCCCCACATAAATAGAATAACGAAATGTGGCACATACGTATTTGGTGCCTCCTTGTACCAATCTTTATATGTTTAAATAAATAAATAGGATATCTCATTACATCACTGTTGTGAATAGTTTAACCATTTAATAAAGAAGAATATGTCACTCCTTTTTGTAATTATTTGTACGAAATATCTACCACGAACAAACGCATTTATATCACGTTATGGTGAATAAAAAAACCTGATGACAGTCAATAGAAATCAACAGAAGTGCACTATCCAGAAGTCATCATTCAAGGAAGTTGACTATTATCTTTTATAAAACAAAATGTTCATTAATTCAATCAATGATAGTACACAGGAAGACTAAGTACAAGCGTTTTTTTGTAAAATTCAGAAAATGAATTGATTTTTAATTTTACGATTTAAGATAATCAAAATTCTGAAATCTTTGACTTAGATATCAACCAATTGATAGTTGTTATGAATAGTAGTATCAAGTACATTATATTTTGTTAAATTATAAAACCCCACCTATATTTATTGTTCATAAGGTAATGAAAAGTGACCAGATAGAAATTCTATTGTTACGATAAATCCACACCAGTCTACATCATCATGAGAGAGAAAACAATCCCAATACATCTGATAACTGTCATCGTATCGTGCTCTCTCTCCCTCTCTCGCTACTTTTTTTCATATCTCATTCGCTTAATGTAGGCAAACAAACAAAAAATATATTACTACCATAGTAACAGTATCGTTATAATAATGATTATTAAATTTATTTTTCATAAAATATTCTATTGTTTCCCACTCCGTTTTGTTATATTTTATTGAAAGAATTGCATTATAATATATGAATAGGCATTATAGAAGTAGGAAATGAAGTATAGATTAGCTGTTCAGTAATATTCACAAATAATTCTTTCTATAATTCCCAGAAGAAGGAAAAAGAAATGAAAAGCAATAAACTAGAATAAAGAAGGACAGAGACTGCATCATACTGTTGACGTTAGATGCAAATCATGGTGTCACAAACTAATTGAACTTAGGAATTTAGATTACTAAGATTTCGAACAAAATGGTTGAAAGGTGTGGTGGTTTCAGTGAGAACTGACGATCTTGTATGTACGTTTGAATGAAAAAGTTGTCAAATTTGCATTAGTAATGAAATTGTAAAGTAAAAAAGCTTATGAACTTGATAGTCACATTCTTTATACGAATCTATATATTAGTCTGTACTTCGTTCGCGAGTCATAAAGACCCAGCTTCATCTACCTTGATTTTGACCATCGAAAACTATCATCATTAGCCTTTACACAAACAATGAGATTCAGAGTTGAGTACATAAACCGACAATTTCTAAATGAGTTACAACAAGACATTAAGTACCATGTTGTTAAAAGACATGATGATGCCTTATGGAAATTATGATTCACGTAAACTGGTTAATCTGAGTTACACAGATTAAATATTTGATATTAATCTTAATTTTATATTAGACTTGAGTAAATCTAGACATGTGTTTACTATACCTACCCTTCAAAATTCAGCGATAGCAAAGGTTGAAATTAACAATAAGAAGAAACTTAAATAAATAAATGAATAAATATTTTTTAAGACCAATCCAACAATGATATAAATTAAATCAAGAAAACACTAACTGAACTTACCACCTGGAAGGAATTCCATAACTAAATACAGATTGACCGAATCTTGAAATGAATAAAACATTTTCACAACCCAAGGATTATCAGCTTTGACTAGAATATCACGTTCAGCTCTTACATGAGCCACCTAATGATTAGAAAATAAATAAAGTATTCGAAAAAATTAAAATATATTTTCAGGTTTTAAAAAGGTTGAAACTCATTACGTTACACTCGACTAAAACAACTACAATTGAAGATAGAAATCTAAGCTTAATTGCGTCATCTTTGTTTTGCGTTACACAGACTTGATATTTTTTAAAAGTAATTCATTGACAATTTTCTTTAGAAATATTAAACAATTTATTTCATAGCTGGTGGGATTGTGGATGAGCACTGCTGAGGAGTCTGATACTAAGAAAAAACAGATGTACAATGTTTCCTTAATTCGAGTGATTATCTTTAACTAAAGTTAGCTCATGATCTAAAACTATGAATTTAATTATAATTTCTCTCTGAAACCACCTATACCGATAAACTACCCTAATTAGCGATGGAAATTCATAATTAGATTGACAGAAATCAACTCTGAAAGAAAATTATTTACTACTATTTTATCAACAACACAAGTCCACAAGCGATATGGTGATTCATTAGCAGATTGGTTTTGTTAGGTGTTCCAGGTTATGGACTTTAATCATTCGGAAAACTGTTAGAAGTAGAGAGCTGTGGAACGCTGTTTCAACCATAAACATAATTTATAAGTAATTTGAATTCAGACTCGGTAACAACCGAAGACTTCCAGATATTGTAGCGAATTCATTATTCTTAGACTAGATCCTTGTTGTTTACATCTACAATAAACAAACAGATAGAGGGTGAGCAACCTAAAACTTGATATCCATAACCAGTCTTAACCACATTTTTGTTTCAAAATGACAGTAATTCAAGTAAACAACACAACAATGTTATCTCATTATTACTAAACGAGAGGAATTCAAGCGAAAAAAACTCAACAAATGACGTTTGCACATATGTTGATAATCATAATGATGACACGCAAATGAAAACGCGGGATCAATAAGCGTAGAAACCCGTATTAATAACAATACGACCACTACTATTACTACTAATAATAATATTAACATCAATCTCAGCATTACAAACGTGATAATTTAAACACAGCTGAAAACAAAATCAATACAAACGGTGAGTGTATCTATGTCCTTCATATGTGTGTACTTGTAACTAAGATTAATGGTCAATTTAACTATTGTATTGATGTGTATTACATTTTTATAGTTGTGATGTATAGCTCTTTTGTGTTTCAGTGAGTAATTTATGCATAGAACTACAATTACACAAATATTCATGAACAGTTACAATGGGAAAACAAAAGAAAACATGTATTGTAATGAAAAAGATAGTAACAATAATAAGTTGTGTTTTTTTCTGTGTAAAATCAGTTTTTTTTGTAACTCTATAGGCAAAACAAAAATGTATTACGAGTACAAATGTAGAATAACAACATTTCAGAACGAATGATATAGAAGCTAATAAATCTATACAAACACATTACGCTTCGATGGACTACATGACAATGGTCAGTAGCACATATATATCTTCTGACAAAGATTTGTGAAGAAATTGCAGTTTGTAACTATTTCGTAAACTGTTCAGTCGAAAATCAGAGTTAATAAAGTTTAATCCATTTAAAGTTTATACAATAAGCACGGAACAACGGTCAGTCAATTAATATTATAACAAAGCAGAGCATTTATTGCTAATTACTGATTAATTATCCCCCACATCCAAACTTATCAACCGAATGCGATACATTTTGGCGTTCAAGCTACCTACTGCTAGCAAACAACGAGAATAGGGTGTTAAAATAAAACCTCTCTATTCTTATAGAGTTGGAGAAGCTATCATTTATCCAAACCGATGAAGGCAAACAAGTTCTAGTGGACTGACATCGGAGATCTTTAAGAATGATGGTCTAGTTTTAGCAGCTAAATTGACTGAGATTGTTGTGACTTTATGTCCGGCTTTTTACCACGTGATTTATTCACCAATCAAAATACGACTTATACAATCTTAGCACTGTGCCAAACCAATGACGTTCGACAGGTATGAGCAGCCTAGCGTCCTTATTGGTCCTATGTCCGCCTATAGCTCGTCCACTTGAGTCCAGAACACCAATACCAGCTTCCACGATGCGAATAGAATCGAATCGAATCATTTATTTCAGACATACTGGGTTTATATACCAACTAAACAGACCGCGACGCACCATAAAATAGGAAATAACATTTGTACACAAAGCTAAAAAGTGGCTGTGAATGTGGGAGGCAGTAAGTCAATAAACTGAACATAGCTTAAGAACGGTAAATCGTAAAATAATAAATTATAGATCAAAATGAAGCTTATAATAAGAGGAATATAAGCATACATAATCTAATGACTGAATAGTTATACAATAAGAATATTTATAGAATATTAGTCCATTAATAGTCCTCGGAAGTTACCCGTAATTTAATCTTCACTGGGATACAACAAGATATTAACTAGTCTCAAGACTAGACGTAATCCAATATGACTGGTACCAAACTGTCACTGGAATCAATAACACAGTGGTATTCGTCATGGTTGTCACAGCTTCCTCCAAATTTATTTAACTTTTCCATAAAAATATTATTAGAGAAAGCCCTCTCATCATCTGAATTTTTATCAATTCATCTCCCTTAAGTAAATATTTACCTGCTGAGCGTAGAATACATGGATGACATAATCCTGCTTGACTCATATGATGACAAAATAAAGTCTTCTAAACACTATGAGCAACAATACAAACGTGTTTGGGATGTTAACCTTTAAGTAAACGCAAAAATGTTGCTCCTCGAATCATATTTTCTATGTCGATACAAATGTGTGCCAGGTTCTAGGTTGCATAAGACTGACTAACTGACAAATTCGTTTAACGTTTCATGGCTATTTCCTTTTCATCTGTATCTAAAGTATATATCTCGAAAATAACAATGGAAGATTTACAGTTAGATCATTTCGTTCAGAGAACGTGACACCTCCAAATACGTACTGTCATTATTTATGAATTATATAATCAAGATTGGCACTTCTTATTGAGTTTGTAATTTGCTTTATTCCTAAAATATTCGTATTGAAAGAAGAGCATTTTTAGGAACCTTAAAAACAGAATTATATGGGATTGTATGTAATGAATGGATTGTAGCCAGCAGTGTAACACACAGAACGAGCGTTTTGTTCTATGATTATATCGAGACAATTTGCACAGAACGAAAATATCCTAACAAGGACTGATTATATTTAAATCAAGAGTATCGATACCAGGATGAATAGAACACATATAAGTAACATCATTCTGACCAAAAACGTTAATGGCTAGCTGGACTGACTGACTCAATGAATAACATACTGGTGTTTGAAGAGATATATACTAGGGTTCACATCTCAACTTGAACATCAACACTGGGATGATGTAGGTGTGTGCAAATAATGGAACACCTATCCTAGATTCTACCACTAGCTATAAAAATTTATCTGTTCTATATAACCATTAGAATTTTTAACAGTTATTTATTTCAAGAATACAAATAAGGGTATATGTTTTATAAAAAGAGAAAATACTGTCATAATCTAAAGTGAATTCAACATTAATAAAATTAGAAATTAAACAAGATAAAATTAACAATCATTATTCCCATATATACCGAATAATATTAACTATGGTTAATTACGACAAGACTAAGATTAAGCGCTTACTTGATCCTTTTGTAGCATATCTGCTTTATGCAAAATCTTCATAGCATAAATATAGCCATTGTCTTGTTTTTGAACTAATCTTACCTATCAAACATGTTGTATAAAGAAAAAGAGTGAGAGATAGAAAAATCATAATAAAAATTTTATCATGAGGAGAAAAACAGTGAAAAGGTAATAAATTGTGAAAAAAAGTATTTCATGAAGTTTAATACCGCCAATGAAAACAACTTCCTCCTTCTTGTTAAATAAATCACAGTAAAACATGAATTATCAGTGTAAGAGTTTACAGAGACCATTATTCAATAGCTGACGTGATAAAATGTGTTTTTAGTAATAGCTAAAGCACACACGCGGAGAGAGATTTCTTCTACAAACGTCCGTAAACTGTTTGATATCCTGTGTTACTAATAATTATTGATGAATAAACGATAAATAAGATGTACTTGATGTACTTCCATCTTAATTCCTAACAGTCAAACTCAAGAAACCAAAAGTTGTTTCTTCCAGAAGGGGACAAATGGACACATGCATCAGGTTTCATTTTGTTTACAACTAGCTAAGAACATAGTTCAACGCCTAAAAAATCAATAAAACCAATGAACAAAAGGATGAAATGAATAAAAGTTTGATATTAAGATCATTGAGAGCGAAAATATATAAATTAATTACGTTTATTAAAGAAGTCTTTTAGAAAACCTTCGTCATCATCAATTGATGTAAATACACTTCACTTATTTTTACAATTTAGTCCTATGACAATTATGATTCATTAAAAATCTCCAAAAAATGCAGTCACATGTTAAACTGTTTATATTTTATCATTTGGATTCAAAATAACTCTGTGACCTTTGATTTTGACCACATAGCCTGTTTAATAAACAACCAAAACGAAGACGAAAGAAGCAAACAATTAACTGAGTGCAATTGGCATCACAAGTCAATCTAAGTTAAATGATCACTGAAAATCAGGAAAAACTGAACAGCTGTTTTGTATCAGCATAAGTCAACAGTTGTTGACCATAAAATTAAATGGTCTCCACAAAATCCCTATATAGTAATTCCTGAAGTTCTAATGAGAAGCCAGAACCAGTGGAGTCCAACCATATTCAGTGTGAGGCAGTTAATCAGCAACGATGTAGGAAGATGACTGCACAACATTACGAACCAACTGACGTTAGGAATATAAACTATTGGATGATGAAACAGAGGTTTAAAAGTTAGGCGTTCGGATCGGACTCATGGAGAAGATGTGGTTGGGCATACCCGTGGAGTTCCGAACCTGAATAAAACAGCTATCGCGTGTTTCCTGGTTTTAATTGGTTGTCTAATTTAGGTTGGTTTATGATCTCAATAACATTTGATTACGCTGTTTAAGTGAGAATGAAAACTTAGCAAAAGGAATTATAGTATTCAAGTTAGTTGATAATTGTCCCCAAGTTCTATGACACTGTATGAACTTTATGATATATTATACACAGAGATGGTCACGAGAAACTTATTTTGTAATTACTTTTTGATACTGGTTGCGTTTTTTGTTAGTTCTCATAATTTGTACATTTACTACAAATAGCTGTAAAAGTTGTTTAAAATTGTATGACATTGAATATTTCCGCTTGCGTTTGGAATCACATACAGCACGATACACTGATAACCGCTCATAAATACACTGCTACACACACATGTCTACCGTTCTCAATTGTCTGATGTTATGATAACTGAACTCTAAAATATTTATTGCCTACATTTATAGACCACAGCCATATTTCCACTATATACTCCATCTGGATATACCGCTCGAATTATAACAATCTTTATTGGAATTATTAATTACCTATAATTGTGTATTATTAAACCAAAAGCAACTCAAACACGCCAAGTCCTGACAATTTAAGTAACGTTCAGTAAATTTTTCTTGTGTTTATAAATTATATTTAGTATATTAATACATTAATTTTTGGACGTAATAACTTTATTATCACTTTTGAGTTAATATAATTTTTGGTACATCACAATTATCTGGTGAACCCGAAGTTTATTCTGTTTGTCACATTGTTTATTTTACCCGACTCGCAAGTTCATTTTCACATAATGTAATCTCCCAATAATCTCAGTGACATTGAGGGTCCTCCTTTAAATGCTCCTACTTCATTACCTGACTTGTCTGACCCATTGTAAGCACGATCAATGCTATATTCGAATTCAGACACAGTTCGTACAACAACGATAATTTTGAGCAGTCACAAGGTAATATAAACGTCTATTTGATCAAGAGAATGAATTTTTTTATCTCAGTACTGAATTCACTAAGACAATACAGAAAGTAGGCAAATTAATCATTACAAATTAAGCACTCATAGGTTTATGAGCACGAATAATCAGACCGCAACATACCTTAAATCAAAAACCACATTTTTGATATAACAAAGCGTTAAGTGGCAAAAAATGAAGCAAACAATGAGCAATTAGTATGTGATAAGTAAGGAATGGTAACACTTGTAGCATTAGTAAATTTGTCCAAAGGAACCTTGGAAAAACACTCAATATGGAAATGTGATAACCCAATTTATTTAATGATCATACAACAAAAGTTAATGATAAGTAAAACAGTTCCATAACTTAATTCTCCAATATTCGCCCTGTTAGAACATTCGGTATCACTTTAACACGTAATTACACATTTAAGATTTGAATAACAATAATAAACTAAGGAGCATACCATTAAGAACCAAAGTAACCTGAATAATTTACAGGGGAATGTGGTCGTTTGAAGTTATATACAGTCTGAAGAACTGTCAAATATTTAGTTTAAACACGATGACTAATTTATTGGTTATACGTTGAGTAATTGATACGAAGAACAAATTATGAACAGTCATTAATATAAGATGATGTATTATAAATTGAAAAAGTGGAATTCCCGTAGATTACAATTATTCAGTCAATCTCCTTTATTAACTCTCACAGAAAAAAACGAGAAAAAAGAAACATTATTTCTAGAGTTTTACAAATGGTTTGAACAGCTTAAACTTTACAGAAATGATCTATTAAAGTCAATTTTCTATTTTGTTCTATTGTTAAATGACAAAATATTAATGGATTTATGCAAATCCATTTACTTATTGAATCAAATGAATTATTCATTATATTTTTAAAAATAGCAACATCCCAAATCAGCAGAGACAAAGAAAAGAAGCAAAGTAAAACCTTACTGGACAAGACCACCAACAATCAACCACTTAGACTCCCTCAATGAGTATGCGAACAGTATTCAGACAAAATTTTATTTCTAACGTTGTTAAGTAGGTGAGAATTTGTGGAGGAAATAATAAGTAAACTACTAAAAATAGGTATACAAAGACGAAAAGAATAACAGAACTACACAGTCAACAAGAATAAATGGCGAGACTATAATTTATGGACCAGCCAATCAGACATAAGATAACAAGTCTTGAATTTTGACGCGAAATTCATCCATACATTTGGCTAAATAGTGCGTTGGCATTTTAGCTGACGTCAGTTTGTTATGAAAACACTAAATTTAATTCCTAACCCTAACCATCAATTGTAAATTATAATTTTAATTACTTACACTGGTTTATGAACCTCATTTAGTCCTAGTTAGTACGTGAACATTCTCAAGGTCACTCTTTGGCGTCGCTGAAAGGCCGTCCATAAATTATAGACTCGCCGAATAGATAAACTTTTAAGTATGAAAATAAAGCGATTCTCTATCTATGCACACATACACAATAGTTAATTCGGAATCTAATTAAAGTAAACCATTTGAGTATTCCTGCTTTGTATTACACATTTCAGTAGATTCCGTCAAATATTTTAGTTTAAAACAGAAATATCTGACATTCCGGTCATTAGAAATAGCATTCTACTCATGATGAGAAAAGTCTATCAAAATTATAGAAAAGTAATATGTTTTTCCAATGGTCTTTGAATAATTGGAAAGTACAACGTTAAAAATTTCTATATCTGTGCCACTTTAAAAGCCTGGATATAAGTGCAGTGTGATGTTCTTCTTAAAAACCTATCACTTAAAAACAAGGATGTTTGTTGGTATATATTCATAAACAGAGATATACTTCAAAGTACATTATCTTTCCGCAGAAGAAACTACTCATATACTTAGCAGTAAAAACACAACTGTAGATAAAATTAACCTCATTGCATAACAGATTTCATTTAGCATAATTGTGAACAACACGTTACGATTACTCTGCCTTATTTCTGAATTTAGAAAAAAATTGTTTGTTTAATAATCTCAGTACTATTACTAGTCAGTTTACCGCTCTTATAGAGTAAAATTAGTCAGTTACAGGTGACACAGAACCTAATATTCATGTGCATCGCTTCAAGCTGTCACATAAGATCAGCATAGAGATTAAATAATCAACGCAAATGTAAACTACATAAATGGCATAATCATCCTTGTATTCAACTGAGATCTCCAAATATGACTTAATAAGGACAATACAGAGAGGTTGATTCATCTCGTCAACAAACAGATTCAGACTTCACACTACATACCGTTGGAAAGACCTAGTCAAGTGCTCCAAAAAAAAAGAATAAACCTCAACAAGTAGATTTATCATAGAATCTTACAAAACTAATCAGTTTAACACAATAAAGCACTTCGAACAGGATAAGAACAATGAATTTAACCAGAATGACATAAATCCAGTTTATCACGGTTCAAATGTAATCAGTTGTATAGGATTTCCATAGGGTTGACGCTAGTTACATTGGTTAACACAACCATCTAGCAGTTAATGGTAGTAGAGCAAGAAAGACAAGAAGTTAAATGTTTAATAATGACGAACTACATCTAAATGACAATAATGATAATTTTACAAAACAAGTTTTTTATTATTAAATCATGTTATTTTCACTACCTATATTTATGACAACTCTCCTACAACCAATTTCGATTATGGTTAATTCTTGTTAAGCCCTTTTATTAACTAACTTAACAGACAATCTTTTTCGAGCAGTAAGGATTTGTCTAATTCTTTGTTCTATTATAATCAATATGATATCTGTATACATGTGTACGGTTGATCAGATGACAGCCTACGTACATATCTCTCTGTAGCTAAAATGTTAATCGCTTAAATATGAATCAATGAGTCATTTTCTTCCCGATGCATATATTTACTAGAATCCCATCATAAGCATTTACCTTGCCTAACTGCGCCTAGATTTGGTTTGATCATAAATTTGTCTCTGTGTTCGCTCGTAAACACACGTTCGCCACTCCGCTTCAAATTCGCTAGATGTGCTTATAATTTTGCCTGCGCTATCCGCTACTAGACTGTAGTCGCCGCTACTTATTGCCTTCTGATTTGTAGACTACCTGGTTGAGGACCGCGAGATGATAGTAACCGATGGGTAAAGACCCTGAATGACATGGCTCAAAATCGTTTGCAATGGCGCAAGTGCATTCACTCTTTGTGTCCTCCCAAATTCTAATCTTCTGAATTCTTTTTTCTTTTTTCCTCTTTCCAAATTTATTTCACTGTATTATAATCCTTGAATAACATCTTCAAACCCTAGTCTTTCCGATTTCTGCTTATACTCTTAAGGCTGGTGATGATGTGCTGAAGATTAAACACTGATATGTCTGTTAAGTGAACACTCGATCGAAATTCTTAGCCGCTTCTAATAAACCTAGACCAAATCTACACGACATCTTGAAAACTGGAGAAAAGGCGAAAAGTTTATATACAGTAAATCAAGGGTGTTAATAGAGTTACGCAAAATCTTGAGCTTCTGTAATCATACTAAATAGAGTACCAGTATAGGTAAATAACAAGTTAGAAATGTGACAAGTGGCTCTTCACTTTCTGGATGTTTAATGAGGAGCTTATACTTAACGCTGACCAGATAAATGGTTTTTGAAAGTTTTCTGAGCCCCTACGGACTTTTCCGAGAAACATTTTGGAACTTCTCACAAAGATCTTTGGTGAAAGACTTTCGAACCGATACCACATTTATTTTTTATTCAAACTTATCCGCAACTCTTGATTTACAATATTATTTCGCACTTTTTACTCGCCAATGTCAACAGCTCCTTATGGAACATATGTTTAAGGGTTCACCACTTCCATCAACATCCTTCTGATTTATTTACTCTTTTATATTCCACAACGTTAAGTATTCCAAAGGATACTGGAATTTAACATGCTAAAAATATTATCCATTTTTTAAATCACCGAGCTCAATTGTAGTATTCTAATATATACGCAATTGATTTTTGTGTCGAAATCAACCCAATCACTTTATTGTAATGAAGAAACAAACGAAAAATTGTAATTACAAAACTACCGATGAATCAACATGTAAACATGACATTTACAGTTTATGTAGTCTGAGATTATTCAATATAACACATATTTCATTATCTTTTCATGTGTATGCAGTCTAGCGTAATTTAGTTATATCTATCTAAATAAAATGATCATTCAAGAAAAGAATTAACCATGAAGAAATACGATAATATTTTCGTCTTGTTTGAATGTCGTCCAAAAATTTAGTCTAAATGTATTCAACAAATATTTCGTACATTATTTCAAGAGAATTGTCAAACAGACAAATAAATAACTAAATTAAAACACATAGATACACAAAGGGTCCATAAAACAAGTGTTTGATGAATCATCCTATTTTTGAATTATAAAATCTAATTAAATTATTTATCAAGATTTGTAAAAGTATCTAAGTATATCTAGGCTCATAGGTATTTTCCTATGTACACATGCACACATACATATAATAATGTATTCGCATACTATAATGTATATACGAGATACAAAAAAAAACTAGATTCCTTGATAAAAGATAGAGAATTCAAAATATAGAAAAAAAAACAGTAAAATTAGTCATCACTTAAGATTGATTTAGATGGATTCAAGTGTCGTAGATTATAACTATCATCAATAGTAATCAAAACTTTCTAAGTTTTGTCCATTAATCTGCTTCGGCAATATCAACGGTATTTTACACACGAAGTTTCAATCAAAGGTATAACTTTTAACCAAATAACTGGAATGTTTACCATATAACGCGTGGATATGGGAAAGGTAATACGAAGGGGGTACATACATTATTAACATTATTGTAAGTTAAACTGGGAGTAAGGATGTGTTCTTTCGGCTAATCATTACAATGAGGCTTTATTAAAAGTGGACGGGAACTACAATCCACTCCAGTGTTACCTGTCAGAATATGTAACGGATTGTATTGTTCAGAATTAGCTTTTACTGATTAACCTCCTTAGGTATAAAATGTTTGTAGACTCAATATCCAATCTAATATTATGGTCGGATGTGGAAAATATCTATCTAAAAATAAAAACATTCCAGATTTTGCGTAGGCTTGTAACCTAACTGTAGCTGGTAAAGCGAAACCATGGTGAAATGAATTACCAAGACAGAATACTATGTTACCTAACTGACTTAATCACCAGAGATTGATTGTTCTTTTTGAAAAAAGAGTAGGTTGACTGGAAATCTTGAGTTATTTCAAAATTGAAGGAATATTTTTTCATAAAATCTGAAAACGAATTGTTGAATCTTCAAATTTTATTTCTTCTCATGAAGAACGTTAAACGCAACAACAAAAAACAATAGAGTATATAAATTAGTATTATTTAGTCTTTTTCCAAAGATGTAAAAGCAACATTTCCCTAAAGGTTATTAGCTCGAAATTAATACTTTACATCGAAAATCCAGGTTAAAAACATGCGACCACTTCTCGAAGCAGAATTAAAGTGCTAGAATAAATGAATTATTTCTTTGAAAAAGTATAAGAAAAATATACGTTATCATTTTAAGTCTATATTAGTCAAATAACCTTTATAAATCAAAATGAACTATTGATGAGAGACGTTTTGGATTATTTTTGTCGACTGAGATTGTGATTTGAATTGATGAACACATCTAGGACAATTAATCAATGAGTCTACTAAATCGCTAACCTGAGGTGCTGGTCTTACATAATCAGAACAGTGGTTACAAATTTGAACAGAAAAATTCCTGAGTAGGAATTAAACATAGAATTCAATGGGTTAAATGCGGATGGTGTAGTCAATGCACAATCAATATTTCCATAAACTTTAGCGGGATAAAGATGTATCTATTCTTGATATTCATTCAAATACATAGAATGATCCTAATACCAAGTTTTAAAACATTAGGAATGAACATAATTGTATTATTTTTATTAATTCTAGGTCACATTATTTAACATTACAAAACATAGAAGTTAAGATTATTCCAAAGGGGTTCTAATCTAGATCTCTGTACCTACCAATGTGGTTAAGTCTAACAATTAGTGATTACATAATAAGACTAAGTATGAATCATGAATTTTAATACTGATGTCAATAAATCATTATTCGTAAAAAATGTTGACCAAAACACACAGAAAAGTAGAATGTATACTTTAGAAAGCAACAAACAATATATGATATCATTGTCATCTTATGTATATAAAATAAGTAAAGAAATTTATTATTTGAGTGAATGACCTTTCTAATCATTTAAGAGAATTCATAAACCTATTGTGAATTCTATACCCTTTTTTCAGTATATGTTTCCCAACCTGATAAACACATACACGCACATAAATTAACTCATACAACAACAAACATACACGATCTTGTCATAAAACAGGTTACATAAAATAAACAAATCGATTTTTTAACTACTCAACATTTCAATGAAATCAATCAATTCACAATTAAGACAAGAAAAATAAAAAGAGAAGGAAAAGGGAAACATTTACGTAAACACAACTGAAAATTTCACAGGTTGAAATCATGAGTCAGTTGAAGCTAGACCACTATTGAAAATCTGGAAGCACTGGACGGCCGTTTCGTCCTAGTATGGGACTCCCCAGTAATGAGCATCCACGAATCCGCCCCCCGCGGGATTCGAACCCAGGACCTACTGGCTTCGCGCGCGAGCATTTAACCATTAGACCACTGAGCCGGCATCCAACGGTATTAATGTCTAACTTCAACACCGTTGGATGCCGGCTCAGTGGTCTAATGGTTAAGTGCTCGCGCGCGAAGCCAGTAGGTCCTGGGTTCGAATCCCGTGGGGGGCGGATTCGTGGATGCTCACTGCTGAGGAGTCCCGTACTAGGACGAAACGGACGTCCAGTGCTTTCAGGTTTTCAATAGTGGTCTAGCTTCAACTGACTCATGATTTCAACCTGTGAAATTTCCTAAAATCTCCACAAAACTCACTCTGACAACTGAAAATGTTAAATTGTAGTTTAGTATTTTATAATTTAGAAATATATTTATCATTAGACTACAATTGATAAAAATTCTCATCCATTAATTATGAGTATTATTATTAATAATCATGAGAAAATATGAATGGTGGCTAGCAGTGGAATCCAAAACGCGCGTTTCATCCTATTTGGGACTCACAAGCTGGTACAGGTATATCCAGCTGACGAGTCCCGAGCAGGACGAAACGCGCGTTGTGGATTCCACTGACAGCCTCTATCCATCTCTGCATATAACGTTTATGACCTAAAGCAATATCGAGGCAATACGCACAGGATGTATATATACCAATGAGAGACTGACCAATTGCGGTCCTGAACGTCAATGGGAAAATACAAACAATCAATGCAAAAATGAATTATTATGATTCGTTTTCATTTTCTAATGAATTATAAAAAGTATTGATGAAAGTCGAATAAGTAACGAACTTTTTCATTTCTGGTCGGCGATAAATTCTAACAAAGAAAGAACTATATTTCCAACGACGATGTTGGATTCAAGGGGAAGCATACAACAACTACTACTTATATCAGCAAAAGTAGCATCAGCTTAACCATATGTTATCATAAAAGCCACTCATGTATTTTTTTTACATCAAACGTTATACTAAATGCTTCCGAATGTAGTAGAATTTTAAGATTTCAAACCACTTCCCACATCATTAGTCAATTGGATAAAAGGAATTTGTATATTCATATAAATACACACACAAAGAAGGAATCACATGCAAAAAAAACTTACTTCACCAAATGCTCCTTTACCAATTATTTTAAGAGGTAGAAAATCATCAACTGTGAGTCGTGCTCGTTTAAGTCGGAGAAATTCACTTTCTTTGAGAGCATGTTGTGTACGTTTGATTTGTTTCTAGAAAACATTGTATTCAACAAGATATGGGTGTAAACACAACAAATGTTACTGACATGCAAAACAAGAAGCAACAACTATTTTAAACAACTAGAAGAGATAAAATTCCATCCAGTTCGTTTATTTATTTACTAATTATTGATATGATAGAGTTGGAACAGTGGAGTCAGATAATTGATGCTTGTTAAAACAAATTAAGAAATTATCTTGACAATTCCAAAGAAAATATAGTTCCTCCATAAACATTGTAGTTTTGTTTATTTACTTCATTTAACTGACTTCCTTACTTATTCACTGTATTGTTTATTCGATTGTGGTACAAGATAAGAAACTATCAAAAAGAAAATATATTTAAATGTTTAATTATCAAACATACATATCTCTTACCTAGCAAAAAAAAAAGATTTCTAATTTCTAGGATTCGACTAGTGTATTCGGTAAAATTAGACTTTATTTGATTATATTAAGTAACTTGAGCCAAATTTTTAAAAAAAAAGGTTTGAAATATTATAAGATTCAGTTGGAATAGATGGGTTGTAACAAAAATTTCGACGACATGATAAATGACTGAAAACTTGTTGATGTATACAGAATATCAATATGAACAAAGTATTTTCTTTTCGTGGATTGCAATCTAAACTTTTTAAGTGAGAATTTGTGTTATTTCAAAGTGAACTTTAAAACTATAGGAAATTCATGATTTCTATCCAATTATTCGATACATACATGGTTGAGGGACGTTGGTGCTGCAGTATTAAAACTACAATTCACCATTTATATGATTAGATTCAGTACAGATGTGGATAACTAAATGATATACGTGTTGTTCATATTGCTAGTTGTATCATAACGATCACAGCCAATCTACATTAATCTAGCAATACCTTAAAATAAAATACATCGGTCATTTCTACTAGCTTCATACACTCACATGCTCCCTAACTATAAAGTTTCATAAATTAATACTGCACGCCAGATTTAATGAAAAGCACACTACTCTTCAGATATTGCCATCACATTATTTACTTAGTTACGGAATATACATAGCCACAGGCTTGTGCGATGGGGTGAAGTTTAACTAATCTTGTATTGGTTATTCGAATATTCTCATTGATGTTTGCAACTAAAATTGATCACTCTTATTGTCATATGCAACCTGTACTTATAATGCTTGTGACTTAAGACAATTTCGAGACGATCTACACGGGAAGCACATATGCCAATAAGAAATTGATCAATTAAAGTCCTGAACGTCGATGTGACGATTCAAGCAACCAATATAAGATGACTTTTTTCTACCTAGTTTTTATTTTGTTTCATATTTTTCAAAGTAAATAAAAAATGGATTTACTATAATCTATATAAATCATTTGATAGAGAAACATGTTTGTACGGAAATAACAAATTTACATAGAGACATTACCAAATCGAGAAAAAATTGAGATTTATGTTTACGTTTATGAGAAACCCATAAGGTTGATAATATAAATTACAAAATCCTGATCATCTTATTTTGTTTCAGTGGCTCATTATTATTGCTGGGATTATAGCCTCTGTTGTAACAAATACAATTGTGAAGAGTCAAGCCTAGCATAGCGAAAACATTTACAATTGGTCGAACGGTGGGTAGTGACCAATGTCATGTGTGTCAGGTCCTTCCTCGTGGAGGTTGAATTCCATAAACCAGGATGCAATATGGCCACTTCTATGTGACTCGACATCAATCAATTGTAAATACATCATAATCTTACAGGAGGTCAGTCGCACCACGGATAGCTCAGTGGTAGCATCTCAGATTGTGAAGCTGGGTTAGGTGGGACTGTATACATCAGGGAACATCAGTTCCTTCAACATTACAGGTACACATTACTGATGAGGGTCAGATTCCACGAAACCTATGTCTGGGGTTCCCTGTCGACTACCGTCAACCACCACTTTACAGGAAACAGAAGTTGTAAGCATACATTTTTATACGTTAGTAGTAGTATATCAAGTAGTGTGAACTGGTGTTTATAAAAACAAACCAATATAATGGTGTACTTCCGAACTAGGTAAAAAATAATAATAATCCACAAACAACCTAAAAAATGCCGAGTTTATTGACGGGGACAACTAATCAGCATTAACAATGTCAATATAGTTAAGTAAAAAACAACATATGTAACTCTTAAGTGAGCATAATACAAATTTTTTCGACTTGGAAATAATTGATTAAACTTAACTGTCTAATACAGAAGAATAAATATTTATACAGACAAATATATGTCATTCAATTTTACGTTAATCATATAGCACTAAAAGATATGTGCAAGGAAGTGATAGAATGATACTAGGAAAATAAATGTGAGGCGCGAGGCAAATAATAACATAAGACAGACAGGCAGTTATTTGCAACGTAGAACTTTGTATATGTTTCTATCGGTTCACGTTCCTACACCACTGTATGAATGAGGAGTCAGACATGTAAGATGAATTAAATCTTAGTTGATAGTGATTATTCACGATGAAAAAAAACGGAATGATTAACACTGACTTCAATTAGGATTTATGTCCGAATTGATATGAAAATCAAGATTTCCCGAATTCCACTTAGGAAAATTGACAGACATAAACTCGTTACATCATTCCGTGAAATTACGTCGTAACGTATCAGCACATCCATACAAAGTGACCGGAAACTAATGTTTAAAGACTAGATCAATCCTACTCGAATTTTTAGGTCACACGGTAGCTTATATGGCATGAATAACACAAATCGTAAGTCCAGTGCAGTAATATTTGAACAAAGATAACTGTTGAACATTCTAAGCCTTGAAAGATCATGTCCCAGGATCAGGGAAGAGTTGTGATTATTGAAAGGTTTTACGGTCAGACAAATGTAACGATGCATGGAGGTTATACACTTCGAACAACCTACCTCATAGTTTTCGTTTCTCTACCCTACATCTTCGTCTTGCCGTCAAACTTGGGAGCTATGTTAATACGATATGTAACATATTTGTTATCATTATTTCACGTTCTTTATGCAACCCAGAAAATAACTAAACAGAAATGTTTGCAGGTACAAACAACTAAGAACTTCGAGAAAAGCAGACAGAGAAGCAAATTGACAAACAGTTACTTTCAACTAGTTGAAATGAATTAATAGGTACAATCATCTTAATATATCGGGTTCTAAATGGACAGATATCAGAAGGAAACAAAGATGCTTGATTACAAAAGACTAACGAGCATACATACTCAGTATCGAATACAAAAATGATGATTAAAAGTTAGTTAAAAGATCAAGAATTAAAACATATGAATTTCGTGAGTTCCTACAGTGCCAACAAAATCAAGATTTAACTATCAGGTTTAATGCTTGCCCGAGATTTCACAGGTTAATCGAAACGAAGTGACTTGTAGGTTACATTACAACTAATACTTCAAAACATATTATCATAATACAGATTATGACAGTTGGAAACTGTTTATACATGACGGATTTCATTAAACTTCAGTCTATAATTATTCTGAACTCATATATTATTCCTCTTATTTCGTTTAAAATTCAATAATGTGCTATGCTCGACATTCTAATTTACCCAATCGTAATGACTATTCTCATTGATTTAGTTAATAAATACTCTGTGGATTCAACTATGAATCAATATAAATTGTGTAGATAGTTATGTCAATTTTTATTCAGACGATTACAAAATGTCTACATTTTGTGATTATGTTAGGCCATTTGATTGTTTACTAATAAACACAAATACAAAAACATGTGAGCACAACTTCTTCTTTGATAGATATCTTGAATTTTTTCTGTATGAAAACAAAGTAGGAATAACGATAAAGATATACTGGGTTGTTTAATTGTATACGTATGAATCCAGATAATTTTTCAAGCAACTGTATTTGATAATAAAAACAATTGTTGAAATATAACATTTATCCGGAACAGGATACCATAGGTGATTCGATAAAATCTTAGAAAAATATAAATACATTCGACTGAATTAATGAAACTCAATAACCGATCACAGCTTCTAGAGCTTATTTTTGAGGTACGCTTTTTATAGTAGTGCTAATAACAGTACTGTCTAGCTTCCTAAACAAGATTGTAGGTGGAGCTCGAGTTAAATCCACAAACCAGTCGTCGAAATTTAAGGAATTAAATTGGTAAACCATTATTCCATTGAAACTTTTATACGATCAGTAATCAAAATTAAAGGTCACAGGTTTAATTTATATGCTGCTAGAGTTATGTAGGTTCATCGTAGACAGAAACTACAAGTGTGCACAGATTTATCATCTTTAAAGTGAAATTCTTTGTTAATAAATAAGTAACATTGATTCCAGTTTGACTGAACATGGTAACTCTTGTTTTCTTAATTTAAAATTATTAGCGTGAGTTAAATGAAATCTTGTTTGGAAAGATAAAATGTTTGACTGCTAAACCAGTAGCTATTTCATATACAATCGAAAATCAGCGAACTGGTCAAGTCTGATAAAATAAAAACGAAGGGAAAACCAACTGAAAGACAACACACAAGGTATCATCTTCAAATATATGAATTTTTAAAAGATCCCAGATGAAAGTTATGCTAGTGATCATTCGAGATTGTTAAATGAAGATCTATATATCGTAGTAAGTTATAATCATAACAAACTACCATCAATACATATATGTATTGAAACAAATATGGTCATTTAAAGTATTGGGCCAAAATTGTAGATAAAATCAAGGACAGGTTGATACGTATTTGAAAACAAACTATAGAATGCCATATAGAACGCAGCAGGCAGAATATCTTATTCCTTTGATGAAACCTCATATTTTATGAGTTAAAAAAAATAAAGCTTTGTTATCGGTAAATGCTGGTATATAATAAGAATTTTATAAACAAAAAATGCCTACTTGTTCTTCTGTTAAGCCTTCACTTTCCATCATTGACTCTAAAATTTTGTACCTGTCAGTAAGAAATAATGAATAAAAAAATATTAACAGTATTGTATTGAGAGCAGAAAATGGCATTTTCCATGATAAACATTACACTAACATGAAAACCAGTTGTATTAACCGCCTACTGGGTTGGTAGTTCTAATCTCATTTCACTTACGAAAGAAAATAGACATTAGGACAGTATCATTAGTGTTCACAAAGAAATTATGGCTCATTGACAAGTATCTGAATCTTTACTTTATGAGACGGTGATACTGATCATTAGCATTTGTTACACAGATTTGTATCTGTCTAAGATAGTGAACCTTTGGAACAGTATGAGTAGGGGCAGAAATATGTGTTGGATGAAATGAGGACACTATGCGGAAGTAAAAACTGAATCCATAGTCGTCATGATTAAAGTGATAGAAAATCACAAAAGGATCATTGACTTAAAAACTACCTTGATTGGTTTAATAATTTCGTATATGCATCTAAATATTACTGTATAGTAGAGTAAAGCCTGATGAGGATATAATCGAAAACAATATTGTTCGCTTATATACGTTGTTCTAAATTTACAAAAGGATATGTTGATAAAAACACTTACTAACCAGATTTTAAGCAGAAAACAAAACCAAATTTAGAGACCGTTGGATGACATGTAACAAAATTACTAGAGGAACATTTAGTACTGATGAGGGTATGTCGGTTAATTAAGTCAGTCAGCTACAACGTAAGACCAGGCACATATATGCATCGGTCCAAGTTGCCACACCTCATTAGCACAACAAAACGAACACCAAATTCATAAAAGTGGTTACTCCAATAGTAATAATATATAAAAACAGACTGAATACATATGATACAAGAAGTAATTAGTTCGTAGAAAGAAAGGCATATAGTAATTTTAATCTCACGGCTTAAGAGAAAACACAGAGTGTATACACCGCCACTGTGATCGATTCTGAGCCATATCACCCAGTCTCCAACAATTGGTTACGATAGTCACACGGACCCAAACCAAGTAGCCTGCATCTACCAACATGGCTCAGACTACAAGTTAGTGACTTTAAGCACTGATGCCACGTTTTGGTTTGGCCGCCCCTAACTTACTTCCAACCATTCCCAACACCGGTTAGCATTGCACGTCATGGTAATCGGTGTTCGGGCATACGTAACACGTGGCCCAACCATCTCAGTCAATGAATATCCACAACCTCATCAACTGATTTACCATCATTCCCTAATACCCTGTGTCTAACCTCACTATTACTTACCCCGTGATCCCAGCAGATGCCAGCAATATTTCTAAGGCATCTGTGGTCAAATACTAGTAGCTTACGAGTGTCTTCTACTCTTAATGGCTATGTTTCGCTGCCATAAATTAAAACAGAACGGACTGCCGCGCAGTATACTCGTCCTTTAATTGATAGACGGATATCTCGCCTTCGCCATAGGTGACGAAAGTTGGCAAAAGCCAAGCGAGCTTTTCGAATCCGTGCTGAGATTTCGTCCGATACCGACCCATTAGAGCTGATCAGACTTCCAAGATAAGTGAAGTTGTCAACGCGTTCGACTACTTCACTCCCTACCCTTAGTTCAGGTGTTGACGCAGACCAATCCTGAAGCAGCAGCTTGCATTTAGAGGGAGAGAAGCGCATTCCAAACATCCTGGCATTGTTGCTTAGTGCTACCAGAAGACTCTGCATTTTATCAGCGTCTTCACCAAACAGGACTATAGCATCTGCGTATTCTAAGTCGATAAGTGGACCTCCTGGAAGGAGATCAATACCCGAGAATTCAGTAGACGAGAATTTTATTTCCATCAATAAGTCTATGATGAAGTTAAACAAAAATGGAGAAAGTGGACAGCCTTGACGAACACCACTTGAGGTTGCAAAAGCAGATGACAGTTCGCCATAAGCTCTGACTCAACTGGTAGTGTTCGAGTAAAGAGGCCTCTGAGGTACGCCTTTCAATGACAGACACTGCCACGGAATCTCGCGGTCTACCGAGTCAAATGCTGCTTTTAAGTCAAGAAAGACCACCATTGTCGGACGCCGATAAGTATGCCTATGTTCTAGAACCTGACGAATGGTGAATATATGGTCGATACAGTCACGACCAAGTCTGGGGCCAGCCTGATTTTCTTGTGTTTGCAGTTCACGAGTCTTTGTTAGGCGTCCAATAATTATTGAGGTTAGTACCTTAGATGCTATATTAGTCAAACTAACCCCTCTATGGTTATCAGAGGATGATTTTGACCCCTTCTTACAAATAAGGACAACCAGTAAGATGGGATTACATCAAACTCGCAGATTTTAGTCAACCTAATCTCTAAAACTGGACCACCATCCTTAAAGACCTCTGGAGTCAATCCATCTGAACCAGATGCTTTTCCTCGTTTCATATTAGCTAATTAATTAAACATAAGCACTTAATATTCCATAGCATTTAACGTTTAAGAATGTCAACCTTCTCCAAGTGACTTTAGAGACATACGGGAGCGTTATATAATCCAAATGTAAACAAGTTACACAGGCCTATGTAATTTGGTCACATTGAAATTTAAATAGCAGTCAGAAGATTCACATGTACATGACTGGAGTCTTTAGATGTGGGTTAAAGGACTCGGTTTTTGAAGATATGCAAAGCATAGATCATTTTCATAGGATAAAACATCTTGGACTGTAACAACATTTTATTTTTTACCACAAGAAATTACTTCAATAGTGTAGTTACATCTTAGTGACTAATAGACACAGACAACCGACAGATTCAGTAAAGTAGATTTTCCACACAAAAAAAGATTTTACTCCTTTTAGACTTTAACGCTTTATGTGAACATCTTTAGGATAACGGTTTGTCAGTACAGTGATGAATAATAATATAACATCAAAGTACACTAAGTGTTATATCTAGTCGTTGCGAATTATGTCGAAATCGCTTGTCATTTATGCCTGTGAAACATGGAACCAGTACAATTCCCACGACGAGAAAGTAAGAACACGAAGACTGGTACAAGTGAAAACTTATTAACCCTAAAACACGATGACGACCGTAGTCAAAAATATACTCATTCATATATCGATTTGTACACCTATTTTCATTAATAATTAGGATGAAATCACATACACAAAAAAATACTTAGTTATAACAAATCAAATGCTGAGTGTCATGCTGAGCATAGTTCATGCTAATTTAATACAACAATATCGTATCTTGAACAAAAATCACAGTGAGTAAAAGAATGTATTTTCGGTTTTTAATCCAATTATATCATTACAACAACCAGCCACTTAGACTGGTGGCCGTATTGTGGCCAGATCGTTAGGAACATGATATCAGTAACTATTTTATGATCAATCAGTGTGAATATATCAATCTTACAGGGTTTTAGACTCAGTAACTAAAGTCCATAAGCCTTAACTGTAAAGTGAACATACATTTCATCTAGATAAGCCTTAGGCTTAATTATGACAGCATAATGATGGTAACATTCAGTATACTTTTTCGAAGTCCACTAATTTAGGGAATTAAACAGACACTATATTAACACCCCTATGTATAAAATTAATACCTTAGAAACAAAATTACATGTAATCATATAACTATTGTAATGGAATAGTCATTTCTGTTATCTCATTTATCTACACATAACATCCGGATTCATAGCAGATGCATAATCAAATTTATTAGTTACACGTAAGTTGATATTTTAGGCTAAACGTTACACTTATTCTATGATGGCTTATAATTCTTCATAATCGCTTCAACACAATGTGGAATGGCGTTTAAACTATTGATCAAGTGAATGAAAAATGAAAAAATGGACCATTGAGTAGTAAACCTACTTAACTGATTGTTACAATGTATGAATTTACTTTCAAATACTACCCTAAAACGAACTCACCTATTTTGACGTTCTCGATATTGAACAATTAAATTGTCGTAGTAATATTCCAATGTAACTTTTGCAACTTTTACTTTATCCAATGTATGACTACTAACATTCAATGAATTTATGGAGGGATTTGTACGATTTAATGATGTGGTAGAAGATGATGATGTCAAATCACCACCGCCACCATTTATAACTTGACTATTTTTTGACATTGAAATAATATCAGGCTTCATTAATGTAGCAAGGGGATCGGTCGTTAAACTGAGATTACTATACGGATGTGAACTTGCAGTTGACATGGTTTTTTAAAATTATTTTCACCGTTTCACTTTTAACAAAATTACATTTAACCTCATTGATAGACGACAGTTACTTGACTGAAGAAAAACAAAAGAACCACGATTACTATTCAGCACATTTCCACTGACATATAATTGAATGCAACACAATAGTAAATCATTACTTTAAAATTACATGCACAACTTATTTATCCCATAAACTTACACTGATGCAATTAATGGCTGCTTTTGAATTTCATCAGCTACTCACAACCCCCGAGTTAATACAGGTCCCAAGTCCGGGCAGAGGAGGGTACTATCAGTGGTTTGTTGTTTTTAATTACTTGGTTTTAACATAAGTTACTTCTATGCAATAGGAGATTCCGGATTTAGTCTGTCAAGTTTTCGTTGAGAGAACTACAGTATAAGCAAATTTACGGATCTATATTCACAAAGAATATCACAAGACTCAATGCTTACTGAGTGATTTGTTTGAAATATGCATAGGATAAAAATTAGGGTAAAAATTGATCTATAATACACAGTGTATGAAGATATACTACCGGTGTATCATGTGGCACACATGATATCACGTAGAAAAGGCATAAGACAATAATGTTGCAATGTTATGAAATAAAGAAATCGATTGTAGTCTAGAGGAAAATAAGAACAGTTTATGATGTTTGTAAAATAAACCTGCTACCAAACATTTTAAGCGAATGGATAAGAACTTCGGAACTACCATTATAAATCACTACCTTAAGTACCAGGAAACACTAAGTTGTGAATGTTTGTTGATGCTTATTTGGAACAACGCCATAACAAATTCAGAAAGGCTATTGAACGAAACTAACTGATCTAACTTGATGTTGCAGTAAAAAGCTTCTGATATCCAGACTCACGTAATGTCGATAAATACATTACAACTGAGGACATGGTTGTGACAATTAAGACATTCAATACACACATATATGTGCTGGCCAATATGTCTAATTACCTTCGCTGTATCTCAGTGATAATTTTGGTTGTGGTCAGTATATTCAGTAACTCTTAATTTGAAGACGAGTTAATATATCGAATTTGACCGGTGTTATCACAGATATTCTAGTACCACCGTAACCCTTCGATCCAGAAAATGACAAATACATAACTAGCATAGCCCACTGAGAGCACTCATAAGCTGCTGATGTATTTATTCGAGAACCTAAAAACTAGAGTTCATATTTAACAGAGGCTCTCATGCTTCCATTTTCAAACGAATACATCCAGTATACTTATTTTTCCAATGTGGAGCTGTATTATTTCAACACTTTGAGAAATGCGAGAGTAAAGAATCAGCCTAAGATTGGAATTTTATTTCTGAAAGAACAGCTATCATTTCAATGAATTTAAAGGTCCGGTGGACAGATGTGTGACGTGAGAACACAACGCGCACAGTTATTTCTTAACCCTACACATGAGGTTCATGACTTTCATTTCAAGTGACGAAAAGGTATTAACCTATGATCTTCAAAACCGAGAAACATATTGGAACAGGTGGTCTACCATCTGAACACCAACTTACTGATACTCACCTTTACAAAAAATTAGCGTCGAAAATAGCTTAATATTAGCGCTTAGCAGATTGAAGGTCTCTGATTCCTAATTTACGTATACAAACAATAATCCAACTATAAGAAGGAGGCTATAGATATTGAAAATTTAAGATGACTTGATGAACAGATAAAGAAATGTTTCCTATTTGGATAAACCACTTCTGCACAATGTTTCATTATCAAGAAGATCTACCGACAGGTAATTTATGATTACGGATTGTCAGCTCAGGAGATGTTTTACTTTGCGATTTATGGTTGTAGAAATTTATACAGACGGAAATAACCAAGAATTACCAAGAATACTCAGTAGATCATTATACATACATTATCCTGTGTCATACAAAAAGGATAACCACTTGTAGAACTTTTAACAGCTATCGCGTGGTAAAGAGCAGATGTTTTATGGTCTTGGCTAACGATGACTCCTAAGTCGTTACGTATCAGACATACCGAAATGCACATGGCTTCGGGAATTAGAGTCAGTTGTCAACTACATAATAGTAGAATGGAACAACGAAAATGAAGGGCTTTTAGTGAGATTGGACCATAACCACACAATCTTCGAAGCTGAACACAAGACTACTCAGAAAATAGATATTCAATATTTAACGCGGAGAAGTACCTAACGATGGTAAAGGCGAGAACAATTAATTGAATGAATTGGAGTTGATCGAATGGCATGGATCGGCCATGCAGTCGTGGTTCCTGCTGAATGTTACCTTATATCTTTCATTCATATTAAATATATTGTTCTTTCTCTTGCCTAAGATTGTTCTTCATCATGTATTGGTAGTTGTTACGATACAGTGAATTGGTATAGACGATGTGACTTCCACGTAAGATCTTATAGATTAGGCAGTTATATCATGACAAATCTACAATTTTAGGATTAGGTCTATTATTAGAGCAGTATTAATATCATAGTAGACCATAATTCTACAGGCTCATGACAGAGTTGGTAGAAAATTACTTGTCGATATCTTGCGAGGGATAAGAAGTGTATGTATATAAGCACGACAACCGTTAGAACTTAAAACACCATACTAGAGGAAAGGTTTTCATAAATTAACACAGGTTGTCTTAGTCAGGTGTTTTATCGAACGTCAAGCTAACTGTTCAGTGATTTCTTTGATCTTGGTCGCCGAATGTGGAATTTAACGCGGATTGCAAGTATCATTCGTTCAGCTGTGCCTGTATCATCCCGATCACATTTAACTGAACTCTTTATCCATCTAAAGTTGAGTTGTTACACATTTCGTGGAAGATCATGGTTTTTTACATGAGCAGAGAAAGCGCAAATGTCCCCATCGATTGCCTGAAAGTGGAGTCTCCGGAAAGCTAACTTTATTCGCTTTACTGTGCGCTTATATCAAACAGCGTTGTGACACAGGCAATCATGTAAGAAATTTGGAAATCTTTGTGTGAGCATGTGGTAAAATCCTTCCATGTTGACTTATTGTGAGACTATTAAATTATCTCGCTTTATTTATCACATTTCATTGTTATGTACAGCCGTACGTCAATAATAATGCTTGTATTACTTTTAATGTAACGTTGCTAATTTTTTATACGCTAGAAGACATTTATAAAGCAATGTTTTTGAGTTCTTTTTGATAGAACTGATCAAACAAGGTTACCGTCTAATGATGACCAGGACTGCTGATTCAGGTTGATCTGCATGTGATCACATCCAAATATATTGTTTTCACATATTTTATGGTTCATTTCCTTGCTTCTCTCAGTAATACCATGATGGTTGTGTTCTGATTGCAATAATGTTTTTTGTTGTATAGGGTCTATCTTTAAATACAAATAGCGTTTTATAGATGTGGGCAGCACTTTTAATCTCATTAGCTTTCGGATTAGAGCAGTCTTCAAATCTTTCTCTGGATAGTTTCATACTTTCGTACGTATCTAGTTTAAGAGCTCTCAATCCTTATAATTTCTGTTATAATCATTCTGTGTCTTACCTTTAAGTGTTGAAATGTTACTTTGAATTTCCAAATCGTGTTTTCGTTGAAATTTTTAATTCTAGGCTAGGACGGTCTTATTGTTGTAGAAAAATTTCTGATTATTTTCAGTGTTTCACTTGATTGCTTGATTTCCACAGACGTGGTCGGTTTTGTTTTTATTTCGTTTTTAACTCAGGCCGCTGCCATCCTTAATTTCCACGGTCTGACTTTTGCTTTTTGAACTGATCAACTTAACCTGTCTCAGAAATGATGGTATACTGTTACCTGAACAACAGAGTCTTCTTTCTTCTCTGATTGATAATATTTTGGTGTCTTTCACCATTTTATTTACTTTGTGTATTGTAGAATCGATTGTTTAATCATAATAAACTACAATGCCGTCTGTGAAACCAAGATTTGCTACTCTTTTAAGTGATTCCGTAAAGTTATGTAACACTGATTTAACTAGGTCTGTTGCATGCCAAAGAAATTTGCTTTGAATTTGCTTGCAAGAAAAGGTGAGTGTTTAAAATTTCATTTGTGCCATCCAGAATCCACATGCCCCAGCTTGGAATTAACAGCTGGTACGATAATTATAGTAGCTAATCAATCACAAAACTATGTGAAGTTATTTGGGATTCTGTCGTAGTTTTATCGTCTTTAATATCCTCGTGACCGCCAGTTGAGTTATCGATTAACTTTTGTGTCCTTTGAAATAATTAATCTGTATACCAATATCTCGATAAATTATAATGCCGTTTGTGTTTAGAAATGAGAACTTTATTTTTGTCCACTATGAATTTCGTCGGCTCGTCCATCACGTTGATCTGGTCTGATGTGTCTGTAAACTATCCCTGTTGCATGTGACTCACCAAATGAAAGACGTTATCATCCCGTCATAATAATGTGACTCATAATTTTATTCATTACCATATGACGCGCAATACTGGTTGTTATGTTTGTGCATTTCACTTAATGACTGTAATTCCTTTAATTATTGCACTAATCTAATTGTTTTTACGTTTAGAAACATAAAGTTTAAAGCCAAGTTGTTTTTGTTCTGACTATAGCTTTCCCATAGACTCTGTGCCCCTCAGTATCGCGTTTACGGTTCTAGTAGTATATCTGTAGGACAAATTAAATCCTACAGATGCTCCTCAGGGTATGTCAACAATGTTTGTGGTCCATGTTGATGATTATGGTCTGCTCAAGGTGAACAGGGATGAAGTGGCCTTGTAGCTCACAACAAAGTCGCTTCTCGTGTTTGGAACCCAATGTGGACTACTCCTTTGTGGTGGATATTTTGACAATTGTATAGAACAAGGAACCCATTCCTGCAAATGCTCACTAGTAAGACCAGATAATGACAAAATCCAGCCACTGCGCCATGAATCAATCTATGGCTTGGAACTGATTAATCATTTCAGGCTATCTTGGACCTTGAAGATGTCCGAATTGCTGTCTAATTTTCATC